CCTTGTTCGTTAGAAAGATCTCAATTTTTTAACAGGACTGCATTTAAAGTAAAAAGTCTAAATTGTTGAGCCTGCTCATCCAAGGCGTTCAGTCGCAGAATGTCCACTTCGCAAAATGTCTACCGCACGCAAAAAGTCCAACGATTTGTGAACTAGTGTTCACCTCGAAAAAACTCAGGATTATCTATAAACCGAATATTTATAGTCATCAATCAACAAATCAGCCCAAACGTTTAAAATAAATTTGTCAAGTTTAGGTATACGATCCTAAGGATGGTTGCACCGATACAAATGTTGATAAGAACATTACGGATGGTGATTTTTATCTTTATATAGGTTTTAATAACAAAAAATGCAATCAATTTAGTTGACGTTAGGTCCTTCGTTATGAAATTGCCGTTTTATTTTTTTTTATGAAAAATATACATAAATATAATTAATACAAGTGTTGACTATTATTTTCGATGCACATTTTAACGGAAGTTCATTGATGCCTCTGCTATGAAAATCCTGGAATCGATAAACTGTTTGAAGGCACTTTTCACCGCCTCATCGGGTTTGAATTTTTTTCCTTTAAAAGGTTGTCCAATTTCAAAAAAAAATAAAAATTGGAGCAATTTTTTTCTGAGTGTTCGATCTTTGTATTAACAAAAAAAAGAATCATGAATATCGGTTCACAAATACCGGAGTTATCGCGTAACATACATACAAAAAAACACACAGTCGAATTGAGAACCTCCTCCTTTTTCGAAGTCGGTTAATAATTATAATAAACTAGTGGATAATTTCACAAAAATAATTGAATATCAATTCAATAAAAAATTTTAAATACAGTGAATAGCGACATCTCTCACCAGGGTTGGTAGCTGTAAAGGTCTAACTGGGTGACAAAACTTTGATAGATTTCTCATGGATGGCGCTATGACTAAAAAGTCGTTGAAAAACCAAATACAAAGATATGACAACAAGCACATAGAAAAATTCGTGAGGCCCGCTGGTTCGTTCCGTAGCTTAGTTGGTGTGCAAGAAGACGTCGGTTCGAATCCGGCCGGATCGAAGGAATTTTTACTGAGTGTTCGATCTTTGTATTAATAAACATAACAAGCTAGTGGAGTAATTTCACATAAGAAATTGAATATCAATTCAATAAAAATTTAAAATTGGACCAAAGTTTACAGTTTTTTTGTGATCTTTTAAATGTTTATTGCACAAGAGATTGATAAGTGGTAAACGGATCGAAATTTGAAGAGGAGACGTGCTTGCTTCGGTGATCGAGCAGGGTGTGACGATGGAACGAAACATCAGAATGGCGAGGCAAAGGAATTAAAAAACGATTCAAAAATTTAAAAATGAGTCGCCATGAACAAGAGCAATGGCGATAAAAAGGTGGGATGACGATGTAAGGAGACCACATTGTCACGAGCTTGTCCATCATCACTTGCAATTCTTCACAGTGCACCTCTGCTGTAATTGTTGTGCTAGGCCTCAAGAAGCTGTAATGAACATTGTCGGATAGGTCGACCATACAACTCGCAAGCAGCTTCTTCCGACTCAATTTGCGTTTGGGACATGGTTTGGCTGCCTCCCCAGTGGCCAACAGTACGACTGACGTTTCCTATTGTCTTCCAAGATCCAGTTTTCAACACAAATGACAATCCGATTCAGAATCTCCTCATTTGAGTGCCTATTCAACCTATATTCAACAAGTTAAGCTAAGCTATAACGCGATTTCGTTGTGGTTATCCTCTGGTTCCACCTACTTTGAAATTTTGAATCACATTCACATTTTGAAAACATTTCATCGGTAATTAAATATGTAATTTTTCAATTTCCGTCCATTATAGCAAAGCTCAAGTTAAACTGGTCATTTTGAAGTGAAGCAATAGACGACACCCGTCTTTGGCCAATCGTAGCGCAGTTGTCACCATAATGATTTGGCAGAATAGTTTTCAAACAAATTAACTTCATCTGTACGTCATCTGTACCGCGTCGCGCAAGCTTGGCATCCTGAACAAGGTGCACCGATTTTTTACTCCAGAGCTGCGATACCTGTTGTATAAAGCTCAGGTCCGAAGCAGCATGGAGTACTGTTCGCACCTTTGGGACGGCTCTGCCAAGTACTTGCTCGATGCCCTAGATGGACTGCAGCGCTACGCCTTCCGTGTTGTCAACGATCCTCATGTAACTGAGCATGCGGAGTCGTTACAGCTTCGCAGAGATATAGCGTCTCTTAGCGTATTCTATCGCCTGTACCACGGTGAGTGCTCTGAAGAGTTACTCGTATTCAACCTTATCCCTTCCTCTCCTTTCCATCAGCGGACCACCCGTGCCGGACTGCGTTGCCACAGTTGGACGGTCAGTTCAATACCGTCCCGCACTAAAAAGTTTGGCAATTCGTTTTTATGCCGAACCATCAAATTGTGGAACCAACTCCCGGCGCATGTATTCCTTCCCCTCTATAACATCGGGTCCTTCAAACGTAGTGTGAAGAAGCATTTGGCCAGACCGGCAAAATGATAGTGACGGAGTGAAGATATTTGTGTTTTCCATCCGTTACTCTCATCTCTGGACTGTATTCGCACTTTCCATCAGGCGCGGTGCAGTCATTTTGCCGAGTCACAATAAAAAAAAAAAAAAAACTATACCTAACTGTATTTTTGGTTGTATACTCGATGTTCTTTCCCTTCCTGTACTTTCTTTATTTCTATAAATAAAATTCATGTCGACTGATGATGCCTTGTATTTAATTACGCGAGGCCCGCGTGACTTCGAAGCAGTCTTTTTGCCTGTTTCGTGTGGGAATTTGCTTAGTATACAATACATAGCACTTAAGGATGTTCGCTGTATCTACAGGTCTCTCAACAACGACGCCCTCTGTTGCTTGTACCGGACACATTTTTTTTATCATATCAAGTGGGACAAACAAGTCGCGCGCCTCATAGTAAGCTCTGTCTATAACAGTTGCAGTGCCACTCAGATCAAAATTCGCTAATTTAAAATTTAAATCGCAAATTTAAAATACAATTTGAGGGGCACTGCCACTGCGCCCGTCACCCTGAGACATAAATAGGTTGACAAGTTCCATGTGCCTGTAATTTCACCAGCCCCCTTACCCTTCAAAACCGGAAAACAGTAATGCTCTAACACTACTGCTTGGCGGCAGAAATAGCTAAGGTGGCAGTACTTCCCTGGACGAACTCTTTCACAAGGAGCTCTGCTGGTACTAAACTACTACATTCCAGTAACAAGTGATCATTTTCTACTACTCCACATAACTCGCAATTAGGAGAATTGTTTTTATTTTTCGTTAAGAAAGCTTTTGCTTTCTTCAAAACTGTTTAATGGAACTTGTCCGGTTCTCATCCTTAATGCAATCACAAATATTTTCCTACCATAGTCGCATTAACGATAAAATATTTTCTCATGTTTCATGGTAGTCTTGCCTTCAGCCTACGAGGACAGGATAAAGGATAAAGGGTCGTTTTGGCGTCTAAAAATAGCCTTCATTGTTGAGGTATGCGAAGATATTTATTAGATTGAAGCCTTTGAATGTATTTTTCTGACTTACTTCGCTGGCTCAGCGAACCGAAGTGGATCTTGGCCTCCGACACCAAAGTACGCCATTTCTGTCGGTCTTATGCCAATTCCGACCATTCGGACACATTTAGTTCCTTTAGGTCTTTGGCGACTTCATCGTTCCAATGATATCTTGGACGGCCTACTGGGCGGTGACCCGTAGGTTGCCGTAAATACGCTCTTTTGGCAGCTCGATCCCCTCCCATTCTTTCCACATGTCCTAGCCAGCGAAGTCGATCAGATTTTATTTCCCCGATTATGTTCGGCTCAGACACTAGTTCTCTTATCTCTCTATTGAATCTGGCCCTCCAGTTCCCAAATTCTCCTTTGATTGGTCCCAGAATCTTTCGACATCATCCGTTCCGCCACTAGTAATTTGTGTTCTTTATTCAGCGTTAGTATCCATGTTTCACACCCATACATAAAGATTGGCCTAATTACTGTTTTGTAGACACGAACCTTTGTAGTGCTGCTTAGTAACTTGGACACCAACACTTTGTAAAGGGCTGCTGTACATCATAGGGCGTTTATTATGCGAATGCCGATTTCATTCTCCCTATTATTTGTGCCGGTAATAGTGCATCACAGGTATTTAAATTTGTCGACGCCCTTATAAGTCGTACCGTTCACTTGGAGGCTTTTTCTCTGAGATCTGTATATCGTTTCATATGCAAGTATTCCGTCTGCTCTGACCAGCTCTGAGACCAACCAGTTCGCCTACTGTCTCCAACTTCTCAGCAAGTTTCCCCACATCTGACTCGCGTTGCCCAAGTAGTGCCAGATCGTCAGGCTCTCCACCATCAATCAATAGGACTTCTCGGATGATATATTCGAGAACAAAGTTAAACAGCATGGGCGATAACGCGTCACCTTTCTTCAGACCAGTAACCACTTCAAACTCCTGTGTGAGCCCTCCTCCGACCTTAACTTCCATTTTGCTAATGACTATTTTTCTGACGGTGAAGTTATTTTTGGTTCTTCTTGTTCAAGTAATGGAGGACCGCTCGTCGAAAACACCTTGTGTTGAAAAGAGCGATGTCCTTGTGCAAGGTTTTTCAAACAAATACAACGTTGCATATAGAGTCCGGCGTGCTAAGGTGAGACACGAGTACTCAGGAAGAATACACAGAATATCATTATATTTACAAAGTTCAAACTTTATTCAGAGAACACCAACCATTTCATCTGAGAATGTATAAAGATTAACCGGGATGTTGTAGGTTTGTGGGGAGTCTGAAGGACTGTCGAGAGATGTCTTATTGTAAAAAATAATACTGGGCAAAATTTAATTGTTTATTAAACAATTTAATCAGAACTTTCTATCGCTGCAATATTTATCTTCTGAAAGTCCTTCAAAGTACGCCTAAGTGTCGTCAATGTGTTGTGACCCTGAGTCTTCAACTAACTCAGGGCTGGGTGTTTCCTGTCAGCTAGGGTCTCGGACTGGTAGGTGTTCGTTGACTATCTCGATGATATTGCGCACATCCTCTACAGACAGCCTCTCCTCACTTTCTTGAACCATCTGAAATGTTAATTGTAAAATACATTACAGTACAACGTCTCCGGCAATCTTCGTATTTCCGAATGTGCTCGAATATAAACTTGCATATCATCTTCGCTTTTTTTTTAGAATTTGAAGAAATGTAAACAAAGAAGCAGTGATCGTACATTTTTTTCTTCAGCCAACAAATTACAATAAAGGGAAACAACGTTTACAAATTACACGATAACAATGATCAATTTCATTATGTTATTATTTAATAAAAAGTTGTTTAATGTTCAGGAGATCTGTTTCTTTTTTTATTGTGCAGGTTTTTGAAATAGATTAAGTATGTAAGGATATATTTTTTTCATTTAATTTATAACAGTTAATGTTACGAGTAAGAACGTAATAATTATTTCCTTAACAATATATAAAACAAATTAACAAAAATATGACCAAAATAAAGAGTAGTATAGTAGCTGTTCTACAGGATGTCTATAAAGTCGACGTCAAGCGGAACGGGGATGGCCATGTTACTATGGTAATATTCCCAACGGTTTTTTTTCAAGATTTTATACACATTACGATTTTTACGTCTCGACACCTTTAGATGTCGACTTAATATAAACCCTTTATAATACTTCCAAGACGATTTAATGATTCCGGTCTGCACGTATTGTAATCTAGAGTCTGCACGAAGTGCAAAGGGCAACTGAATAAATCCGTCGACAGGTGGAACACGAGAATACCATCAAGTGACGGGACGAACAAGTCGTGCGCTTGATGATAAGCTACACGCCTGTCCTTAACAGTTACACTGCCACTCAGAGCTTTAAATTGCAAAGATCTGAGGGGCACTATCACTGCGGCCGTCACCTTGAGACTTAAGTTGACAAGTCCCATGTGCCTGTAATTTCACCAGCACCCTTACTGTACCGTAATGCTGACATTACTGCTTGACGGTAGAAATAGGTAAGGCTTTCACAATGAGGCCTACTGCTACTATACTTATTTACATAAATTAAAAAGACATTTATTTCACCACAAAGCAAAGAAATGTCAATAATAGCCAGACTAATAGAAAATGTAACTATAAATAAGTAATGCAAAAACTCAGCATTGGTTACATTCAGTCTTCACTTATAGATTTTCGCTTACTGCAACAAGTTGGTGTGCGAAGTGTGCACCAATTATACCTTTACTTACTTTATTTACTATTAATTAAGTAATATATATGGTAAAATTTAAAGGGCTCCCTGCAAGTTACTTTTTTTAACCAACCCATAGTTTGGGCTGCTAGTGATTTTAATTGGTAATCAGTCGTTATTCGATTTCTGTACGAACTAGAGCCATTGTTTATAATACATCGTTTTTTTTTAAATAAGTAAGTTTCAAAATTTATTTACTAGAGGTGGGTAGGTCATTCCAGCACTCTACCACGCAAAACGAAAATTGCAATACATAGTTAGTTACATAAACCTAATGGCAGTAGTCCGCCATTTGTACTGTTTTGTGTGTAATAAAGTTTAAACAAATAAATAAATAGTTAACTGAGGAAAAGTAAATAATTAAAGATGCAGGCACTGCATAGATTTAACTTTTTCTGGCCACTCCAAATAAGTTTTGGGCCTTATGTCAGACTGTTTAATATTTTTTTTATAGTTATTTAATTTTTTCCCCCATTTTTTATAAAAATACAAACGTTAAACAATATTTCACCCTGTACTTTTAGATTTCCAGAGTAAAAGATCCTATCACAAATGAAGATATGGAGTCTTTCAAATGAGGCGTGAAGATGCATCTTGTAGGTATGCGGGGTGGTTAAAGTGGTGATTGCATCAACACTGCACTACACTCTAGCCAAATTCGATACAGAATATTTAATAACAAAACATTGCTAGGCGACTAATGATGGCAGTTGTAAAGAACATTTTTTGTCCCTGCTATTATTTAGGTTAGTTCTTACCACGATCGAAGGATGGCGACATCCCATGTATTTTGTGGTCCAGTGTTTTTGACGCCGTGCATTAAGGAGACCTATCAATACTTGTGATTCATTATCAAAGCATCAAAAAAAGCTAATTGAGTACAGCCTGTAGAAGCTGGGGTTATAAAGTTGATATAGGTTATGTTTATAACATCGGCCTGTATTTAGCTTCAGATGTCGCAGTAGCAGAAAACAACAAGTTTTCAGTTTGTTCCAGAAAATAATAAAAAAGTTCCCGAACATTCCCAAATCTGCCAAACTCTGCCACATTTAATATAACTTATCATGTTCTGCAGCAATGAAAATGAATAAAAATTAAGTGTTCCCAAATGGGAGAAATCTGCCACAAATGGTCACACTGTTTTCAATATCAATGTGACATTTACATTGGCATGAGGTCTCTTGTCAAAACGTTCCTTTGCAACTTTAACTATCTCTCATTGCAATATTGTCTAAATATTTTTGTCACATTGTGTTTTATTTTTTGCTTTATGTCAATACTGTTTAATTGATTATTTCATTAGGTATTTCATAGCTTTAATGTTTTATGTGTGTACTATAAAATAACCAATACTTCACGTAGGTAAACATTCAACCACGCTTAAAATGAAACGTACGTACAATAACGTTGTCTAATTTATGGTTGAACTGAATCAATTGCGTTATGTTCTTATATCTATTCTAAAATACAATTTTTTTATTCCCTACTTCTAAAAATATACAAAAATATATTGATAACTAGGCATAAACGAAAACGCAAAACTATACTAGCGAAGTCCAGGAACGATTCTTCGTCGATATTGGGGCAGCTTTCCCCAACCTTCCTTGGCTAGAATATAGGTACCTTCATGTTTGGATTCCACTTTCCATTTAAAATTAGGTGGAGTGGAGTCATCCGGCTCCAATTAGTCTATTCACTGAATTTTATATCACATTGACAGTTGTACTAATTGCTTTTGTTTGCTCTAGTGAAAACAATAATTTAAAAGTAACTGAACATAAGTTCCTGCGACATTGTTAGTATTTTACAAATAACCCTGTCTACATATATATGGTCGTATGGCTCTAATGCGGTCACACTCCACTAAAAGATGGGTTAAATCTTCTGTAGTTTTACAGTATTCGCAGAGAGCTTAAATACCTTTAAAGTGTTAAATTTTTTTAGTGGAACATCATCAGATCTAATTCTAGATGCTGAAACAAGAGATTAGGTAATATACTATTTTCCAAACAAAACAACAAATAGATTCTCACCAATTGTATCTCCAATTCAGTTCGGGGTGGAGTGTTGACCATCATAAGTTTCTCTGTCTTAGTGAGTTTGAACTTCTTCATGGCTTCTAAAAACTTTTGAATGCCCTCAGCACTCTGAACTCTACAGTCTGTGTCTTGTAGGAAGTGGACTGTCTGAAAATAGGCAATATAGAAAATTACAACCAAAAGTTATTGATGCTTAAAAACAACAGAACTTACATAGTGCAACAGCCTGGTCAAAACGAAGTAGTTAAGTAAGGGTTTCAAAAAACTAAATTTTTCAGTGTAAATAGAAAAAATGTGATTATAAGTAGCTATCTGATACAAACTCAATAAATTTGCTGACCAGAATTAAATAATGTATAAAACGATAAACAGGTCAATTAAATTTTTTACTGACACTTGGCTTTACCCTATTTATTTTTAACACACGAGCCCACGTACTATGGAAACACATATAGACAACCACAATGACCCCCAAACTCACGAGAGAAACAAATGCAGGCCATACAAATATTTCTCCCGTCACGGGTACCGAACCCGGCACCTCTACATGGCAGTCTAGCATGGTAACCGTTCGGCCACGGAGGCAGTTAAATTTAGAAATAAAAAGCTGCTTTTAACTAACTTTTTTATATTTCACAAACAATCTCTAATGTGTCTGTAATAAACCAAATTCCTAAAACGATTATTGTTTTATCCCATTTTTATCACAATTCATATTTAAAGAAAAACGTTAAGTCGTAGTCGTAAACGTTCTTCATTTACCTAGTTTTTAGCAGGAGTTGTATAAACCTTTTTCTTCACAAATTTATAATAAATATTGTATGAATGTGTCATTTTGCTAGTTCTACACAAGCAATACCTTGCAGTCATTATTTGTTAGGGCTTGATAGTTGATGGAGTTGCTTTCAGTTCATAATAAATAGCATACTATAGTAGATTGTACAACAAGTGCATAAAACGCGTCATTTTACCCAAGGCGAGTATATCCACTCGAGCCTTAGGCCATGGCGGATACTCAAGTCGAGGGTAAAATGGGTTTTATGAACGAGTGATACACTCTGCTATTCACTTCGATTGCGAGGAAATTAAAGAGCAATATTACAAATAAACGATTATTTAATTAAAATTGAATGTCAATTCTACACATGACTCAGGTCGGCCTACATAATGCTCAGTTATATTTTACAAGCTTTTATTTTTTATGCAATTCCATTTCTTATAACTTATTAGAGTTACTATTGCCTACTTTTTTAATTTTATAATATAATACGGATTAAAAAAATAAAAGCAAAACTTTATTTTATAAAGTTTTAGTGTGCGTGGCTGTTCGCGCAGGCATCATTGCCTCGGTCTTAAGCGACAATTTTATTTTATGCACTAGAGCATAAAATCCTATTTTATGCAATCTACACCCAGCATAAATACGAACTTTAAGAGCATGAGAAGTGAAAAAGTTATTATAACCTCCAATTGTTGCGCAATGTAGTTTAATTTGCCTGTTATGTGGTACTACAGACCTGTTTTTCTCATTACCTCGATTTTATAAATACTCTTTAAGAGTATTTATGCATGCATTAAAAGGATATAAAAAATGAAAATTTTTGAAATTAGTAATTTTGTAGACTCATTACAAAAGCTTGTACAGCAATAAATAATATCATCATCATCGTCATTCAGCCATACGACGCCCTGCTGCTGGGCATAGGCCTTCCCCTAACAATCTCCACATCAAAAATAACAATATAAATATAATATGTATATGTATACAACCTTGTTAATTTAGTTGTAATAAGTACACATCTAAAACATTCCATTGGTCTACAACCCCTGTTTCTTTGGATCTTTTATTGTGCAACATTTATATGAATATTACTAAAATGGTTTATTGCTTCATAATACTAATAAAGATATACAAAGTACACATTTTGTTGTCAATAAAATTGTAATGAATGTCTGTCAAAAAAAATGTTTTGGTGTGATATATATATATATATATATCATGAAACAACCATAAAGCTAAAGCCCGATGGTAAGCCTTTGCCTGTCCATAACACTTACAGTCCAACTCAGAGCTTTAAATCGCAAAGATCTAAAGGGCACTGCCACTGTGCCTGTCACCCTGAGACATAAGTTGACAAGTCCCATGTACTTTTAATTTCACCAGCACCCTTACCATTCAAAACCCAGTGAACCTAGTGAACACAGTAATGCTCACATTAATGCTTGGCGGCAGAAATAGGTAAGGTGGCAGTACTTCACTGCCTGTTTAGTATCAGTGAAAATGTTAAATTTAAAGATCCATATCATTGACTTACAATTATATGGACGTTGGGTTCGCGCTAAACAGTGTCCGAACGTATAGGGCGTTAAAATCGTATACAGAGCATCATTCACGCTTTAGTCTTCGTTTGTTCGACTGACAGCGAAGCAAGCAAAATTAGACAGTACTGCAATGACATTACAATTTAAATTCAACATTTTAGCTTTTTCATATTCCTTTACATGTCACTACGTTTAAATAGCTTGACTTGGGACATTTTTTTCGTGGTTTTTGTATTAGAAATGTATTAAAATAGGAAGGAATACCTCATATGTAACAGTGGCCAAAGATCCTTCCCGTTTATGTTTTTTCTGTGTGCTTTCCTTCAGTTGCTGTAGGATCAGCATAACTTCATAGTTACACAAAAATGCAGCATTTGCTTTTACCCTAAAAAATACAATAACAATATAAACAACCAGACATAATATGGTTATACAAACTACAACTGTTGGGTGAACAGTCCAGTATATTAATTAGTATAGAAAATCTATCTGAAACACTAAGTTAGACAACTTCAGTGTTGTAATGCGAAGCAATGAGCCGGCTTAGGTTATGACCATCTAACACAAGCCAAGCAGGCAAAGCAAACGTGTCGCAGCAGTGGCTGGTCAGTGCCAGAACTGGAATTGGGGTATTTATCTTTCAAACAGAATAATAATCGGAGCAACAACTATCGGCCGTACAGGATCATTTACAGAATAAAGATTTAGTTCTAATCTATCCAATGCAGACATTAAAAACTGATAACAAAAATGTTTAATTTTTGTGTACTTTTCCCAAAGTGTCCCACAAGTGTTTCCCATAATCCCCTTCGGTACAGTCTGACCGCTCTGAGTTCGCGACTTGGGTAGGTATATTAGTTTTGCGTATACCCGAGTTTAAGACAATATAATTTGGTGTAGTTGTCTGGCCAATTATAATAGTTACGAAATGAACTTTTTGAAATTAGGATGAGTGTTTGGCAACGTACGTTTCCATGAGGTAAGTCAAATTTTCATCAATATACCACGTCTGTACATCACAAGATTGACATCGTACGCTTATTTTGAAGATTAAATTGCTATAAAAATGAATAAAAAAACACGCGACACAAAAGAAAACAAATATGTACACGTTTCAACTTTCCGATAATTATGTTTGTCCTGCAGTGCTTGTTTTTGTTTGCCTTCGCTTAAAAACAATAATACCTATTTGTTCTACTTTTTCTTCGCTTTCCGACTTTCGTTCGCTAGACGCGAATGACATTGCCAATTTGACAATGACACTACTTGACATGAACGAATAATTACTGTGAACGCCATAAACAAAAGACAAGTAAGTGATCGAATGAAGTAGTCATCCTTAAACATGTTTTTAATTTTAACAGATATGTACACACAAATTTGTTTTGAGCAGTGTTGTTTGTAGGTTGTATATATCTTAGCTTACATACAACTCGTGTACATGACTAATATGTTATATTTTGCTTGTAGATTAATGGTTCTGTTTATCTGAGACTGTGAAGACAAAGAAGTTAATTAAAATCTGTTTATTGTTTAAGTTTCTGAATAGTTTCTTCATTACAGTACCCTTAAAATCAAGGGTAACGAGATTCATTGCATAGCCTTCCTGTTATCTACATAGGTACTTACTTTTTTTTTTCAAGAAGTGAATACCTTTTTAGTTTTTGTATGTACAATATTTAAATCATGGTGTTAATCCGCAGTATATCTTTACTGAAAGTAAATAACTTTCTGAAGTCTTTTATCAAAGTTAAAAAAATAATAGTCCGAAACGTGTCCCAGGAACATTTTGTCAGCGGCACTTTAGAGCTGGAGAAACCCCTGAATGCTTACTATTACCATTTTACTCATTTAAAATTACCGGAGAAGAAGGTACTTGCGACGTATGTTTGGATTGATGGTAGTGGTATTAATATGCGTTCAAAAGACCGAGTTCTCTCCGAAATACCGTGCGATTTATCGAAGATACCCAAATGGTCATTCGACGGGAGCTCAACAGGACAAGCAAAAACTGCCAACTCCGAGGTTTTATTAATTCCTGTTGCAATGTACAAAGATCCATTTCGCAAAAGTCCTCATGTACTCGTTCTTTGTGAGACCCTACAGGGTGATGGTACTCCTACCAACACTAATCATCGGGCGAAATGTGGGTGTGTTTTGAATACAATTTCAGATCAGGAACCAATGTTCGGCATAGAACAGGAATATACAATGTTTCATGATGACCTGTGGCCTTTAGGTTGGCCGAAGTCAAGAGGTTTTCCAGTTCAATGTAAACATGAATTTTCGTACTGTGGTATCGGACCGTATGTTGTCGGGCGTGACATTGTTGAATGTCACACCAGAGCATGCATGTACTCCGGCATGGATTACGAAGGGTCTAATGCTGAGGTAATGAAAAGTAGTTGGGAATTTCAAGTTGGTGCCACTGGAATTAAGGCGGCCGATGATCTATGGATGGGAAGATATTTGCTTCATAGAATAGCAGAGCAATTCAATGCTGTTATTAGTTTTCATCCGAAACCTATGGGTAAATATCAACCAGGTATTGGATGTCATCACAATTTCAGCGTTAAAAAAATGAGATGCGATGGAGGAATTACAGAAATAGAACGAGTGTGCAAAGTTTTATGCGATAATCACGAAACTTATATGGAAAATTATGGGCTCAACGATAGCCAAGAAAACAAAAAAAGATTGCAAGGATCATTTGAAACTGCTCGTTTTGATACATGTAGGTGGGGCGTGGGCGACCGAAGTGCGTCTATAAGGTTACAGAGAAGTGTAGCTATGGCGCAAAAGGGATATCTTGAAGATCGACGACCAGCAGGTGACTGTGACCCTTATCGCGTGTGTGCGCTTCTCGCAGAAACATGTACATAAAAGCAAAATCATATTATGTATATACGAATAATATAAAACATCGTATTACAATCTATTTACTAATCAATCCTGAAAGAATTTGACAATCTCACAGAAAAGAAGTTTTTGAATAAAATAAAGTAAATGCCGGTCGCTTGTCATTGAAATTCTAAAAGTACCAAAAAATATACACAAAAATTTTTGTAATTGATTTATTTAATATATATAGGTGCCAATTTATTATAAAATAGGTTACAATTAAAAGAACTGTGATAAAATAATTTATTTTGCTCATTTATTAATTACGTTGTCTTAATTGCATTAACTCGTCCCAGAGTTTCATCTATTATACATACAGCGCTTTGTTCGTCCAATACTATTACAAAAAAATACTACTGCTAGCAAGTCTACATAAAATAATTTAAAATATGGCAGTTAAACTTTTAACCAATTCCCTTAAATGTTGTTTATTGACATCAAATAATAAATGTTGGATGGATATGCAGAAAAAAACAATGTTAAAGCATTCAATTAACCATATAATGAACAAGAAAGTTATGGACCGGTACATGAGGCTGCCGATGCCATGTAATAAAGTGCTCGCAACTTACGTTTGGATCGATGGTTCAGGTATAAATATGAGATGCAAAGACAGGATATTAAACTGTACACCATACTGCGCTGACGTTGCCCCGGATTGGGCTTTTGACGGGAGTTCATGTGGATTAGCTAGTACGGATAATTCCGACACCAGGCTAAAGCCAGCTTCTGTATGTAGAGATCCTTTTAGAATGGAACCTCACGTCTTGGTTTTATGCGAAGTATATGAAGGCAGTGGCGATACTCCTGTTCGTACCAACAACCGCAAATTTTGTAATGACTTATGTGAGTTTCACAAAGATGATGAACCGTGGTTTGGGTTAGAACAAGAGTATACTATGTTAGACGTAGATGGATGGGGACTGGGTTGGCCAAAAGGCGGTGGATTTCCTGCAGTGGTGTATGAATTTTCTTACTGTGGAGTCGGTGCGAAATATATAGCAGGAAGAGATATTTCCGAGGCTCACACAAGAGCATGTCTTTACGCCGGTCTTGACTTTGAAGGCACTAATGCTGAAGTAATGTTTGCTTGCTGGGAATGGCAGATAGGAACTTCAGTTGGAATAAAAGCCCCCGATGATTTATGGATGTCCAGATACATAATGTCACGGGTAGCTGAAGATTACGGTGTGCAGATAACTTACCACCCGAAGCCTATGGGTATGAAGCATCCGGGTGTTGGTATGCATCATAATTTTAGCTCGAAAAGGATGAGATCGGACGGTGGATATGCATTTATTGAAGAGTGTATTAAAAGATTAGAACAAAATCATATGAAACATATGAAGCGTTATGGTATGGAAGAGGCTACTAACAGAATGAGATTATCAGGAAAATTTGAAACCGCCCCTTTTGATAAGTTTTCGTGGGGTATTGCGAATAGAAAGGCGTCGATCAGGCTCCAAAGAAATATAAAAGAAAAAGGGAAAGGCTTCATGGAAGACAGAAGACCAGCCGGGGACGCTGATCCTTACATGGTTTGTGGTTTACTGTTAGAAACTTGCTTGGGACCTGTAGGTGGTAGCTCAAGTCCTTGTAAAAAGTAGTGCATTGTTGTTCATTTGCCCCATTGCTGATACGTTGTACGCATAGTAAGAACATTGAATGACTGGTTGTTTTGCGCAGATACCATACGCCAATGCTACGGGCATGGTGACTATGACGTGATATTTCCATCGTGTAGTTATTTTTTTCATGCCAGTCCAGACTGACGTGTCAACGTGTAGAGAATGGAGTGGCTGCCTATTTTTAGTGCCGTTTCGCTGTATTCCCCTTGCCAGTATAATTGAATAGTTATTAAAGCGTTGTGGGAATCGCTAGTGACATATCGTACTAATGCGTAAGATGGATTTGGTAATTTTTAAATGTTTATGTTTTGTCAAAATTACCTCGAGTAATTAAATGGGATAAATATGCAACTTTTATGCTGATTTAACGTTAAATACAGTAGGGATGTTTGTGTACCATTTGTTTCGAGAAATAAAGTAACAAACATGATCGGTGCTACAACATTTTTATGGCGGGTATTAAACCATAACTGTTACTGAAAACTTAGAAATCAGTTCATATAAAAAACTATTATATCACGTGTAAAAGCCCCTTTTCCCTGGTGCCGAACTACATCAGTGTAAGTCATACTTAAACCTAACCAAACTAAAAACTAAACCTAAGCCATACTTGCTAATTACTGAACTTTTAAATTATTATATACTGTATAAGAATACACAATTGACAAACTGCAATTTTTTTCAAAGTGTTGATCTTTTACCTGTTTTCTTGTGTTCCGGCAGTGAAAATGAAATATTTACATTACTTATATTTACTTGGTAAATTTCAATAAATATTAATTTCAATCCTAATTGTATTATTACGTATGAATTATTTTTACTGAACGCAGTGGGGGTCTGTTGTTTTTGCCTATTCCATTGAGGTTGCCGTGTTGATATTAAGGCCTCCACAAAGCTTAGGTACGCATCGGAGTCTGTCATTTGTACTTAGTGTATTGTACACAATAAACTTAAACAAATAGGTACAGTACTATTTTCAAAAGCCTAGTTTTGGACTTCAGGGCCATGACTTTAATTCAAATCGGAATCGATCTGATCGGGTAGCCCATACTCAATATTATACGCCTCGACTCAGAAAAGACGCAGTTTCCGTTCGGGAGAGGCAATCAAAATCTGGGCCCAGATAGATTTACAAACATTCGTGACTGCAATGAATTCCATTATTTTCAATCACGAAGTATCGTAGTATTTTATAAATAATATACTCTTAATCGATACACAATATTTTGCAATGCGTTAATGATAAGTTCAACCGTGGATGCTTATAAACAGTTGATTGATATCACAATGTTTATTATAATATATTTTTGAACCTGCATAGCTTCTGCATAGGATCTCATACACAATGCAAAATTAAGCTTTGAGTTATGTGATGCGATTAGAATTTAAAGATACATTACATGGCACATTTACCGAATTTCGTGCCAAAACGCAAGCTCCCGCGTGAGAGTTGGTTTTGTCTATGGTTATTCTAACCATAAACAAAGTAATTAAAAAAAAAACAAGTGTCCGCCATTTTTGTTCTTTTCTCTATTCCTTTCGTGTCATATGGCGTGAAGTACGATCGCGTTTGTCCGCCATATTAAATGAAATCAATAAAATAAGACAAAATGTCGCCCTACTAAAGTGCATGAAAAATATCCACCAACATCCAGTTTTTGTGTGATTAAATCATCAAGAGGATCACAATGGAGAATTCCTACGGTGTGGGGGTTGATAACAGATACGCTCTTTTCTTGGACGACGAGTCCGATCCTCTTGATGCGTTAAAAGCGCGAGAGCAAGCTAAGGAGCTCAAAAAGAAATCCAAAGAGGCCGAAAAGGAAAACAAGGGCAAGCCTGAAACTAAACCCAAGGGTGGCAGTGCCGTCGCCAGAAAAGGAATCAAGGAAACCCAAAATGTGAAGTCTCAGGAAAATAAGAGTGGTGAACAACAGAAGGGCAAGGGGCCAGCTCGTACGAATGAGCGCAACAATGCGGAGCGCCCGCCGCCGCGCCGCCGCGAAGAGCGGCCACAGAATGGTGCCGTGGAGAATAAGGACGGTGCATCGCGGCCCCCTCGGCGTGAGTTTAGTGACCGCAGGCCTAATAATTATGAGCGACGCAATTTCAACGAGAACCCTGAGGGTGGTGAGCGTCGTGGTCCACGACCGCCGCGTGAACCTCGCGACCGCGACGGGCCTCGTGGACCCCGACCCCCCTACGATAATCGCGGCAAACGCGAGTTCGATCGCCGGTCCGGCTCTGACAAGACCGGTGTAAAGCCGGTAGACAAGCGGGATGGTGGTGGCTCGCACAACTGGGGCACGTTTAAGGACGAGCTGGACGAACTTAACAAGACGGGCTCTGAAGGTGAAGTCGGCGACGAGAAGGCGGCAGATGCCGGCGCAGGCACCGGTGCGGGTGGTGATGCTCAGCCTGCTGAGCCCGCCGCCCCCGTCGAGGAGGAGCCGCGTGAGTTAACGCTCGACGAGTATAAGGCGCTCCGGAATGCGCAGCGCACTCAGCCGCAGTACAACTTGCGTAAAGCGGGCGAGGGCGAAGACCTGAGCCAGTGGAAAAACTTGGTGATGCTGGAGCGCAAGAAGGAAGGCGGTGACGATGATGACGATGAGGAGGAGTACGACATCGCCGACTATCCTCAGCGCGTCGGTCGCCAGAAGCGCGTGCTGGGCATCGAGTTCACGTTCAGCGACACGGCGCGCCGCGGCGGAACAGGTGGGCGCGGGCGCGGCCGAGGCCGAGGCCGTGGCGGCCGCGGCCCGCCGCGCGAGGAGGTCCCGGTGGAGGAGCGGCCTCAGCGCCAGCAGGCCGTCCCACCCAAGGTGGACGACAGCAAGGATTTCCCCTCTCTAGGCTAGACTCACAGTGAGCCTTTGTTCTACTCCCCTTTCGAAGTACGATAGAGATACAAATTTAAATATTGTATGTACTATTATTTTTGAAGCAAATATACAAAATATTTACACGAGTGTGTATTATATTACATTAATATTTGTCGATTTCGACGTTGACCGTCTCAAAATCTAGAATCGACTTTGTTGGTTTCGCTTTTAGATTTCTCGTAACATGGGGTTAATCATGCTCATGTCAAGATTTTGCGGAGGGGGAGGAAATATTTTAGAGTTTTAATTTTGAATACACAGTATAGCTACAGTAATGCGTACAGATCTACTATCATACTTAACAGTAGCTTTTATCATATTGTAATCACAGCTTATGATTTAACGTTGAAGAGTTCTATGGATTAAGGTTTTTAACCTGCTGACTGTGACATAATATGAATTAACTCCGTCACAACTTAGTTTAGAGCATTTGTGGAAAGTAACCCTTGTTGCATTTTATATCATGAGTTTGTGTTGACAAATGCAGACTTTGGGAACTGTAAATAGTTATATATGTTAAAAGATAAGGTCTTAACAAGGTTGATTTTTGTTGTTACACAGACTTCTTGAAAAATAAACATTTTGTATGTGTGAATCTTGTTCTTATTATACCTGGAATATTCATCCATTCCCCAACAGGTCTCCCCCTCCCATAGAATGCTAGTATGACAGTATAACCAAAAGTATGTAAGTTAGTCTTAGGATGTGCAATTGTGATTTGAATTGATTGGTTGTATACATTTATAAATTACTGCCACATTGTTGCTGCATAGATAGGTAGGTACCTAAGATAAGGATCTTTGTGTGGTATACCACAAATCAACCATGTACAAATTATGATACAGATTGAATGTCAACCACGTTGGTTCTTCCTTTATTCAAGCAATAATAAAATAATATCTGCCTCATGTTTAGATGTAAGTTAGATTGGTAGTTATTATTTTTGATACAATATATATGCACTTGATAAATAAAAATAGCCATAAATTGGGTAAGAATGAAACAAATTCTTGTAAGTAATTTTTTATATTGACACATTTTATCACTTTCACACGAAAACAGTATACTTAAAATTTACATTATAAAACAATATACAAAGTTAAATATTCAACTTAATAGAATTATTACTTACAAAAATAAACATTAATTTATTCTGGGTTCACATGG